GCTCCCGCGGCCCGGACCCAGCGGCCGCCGCGCGCGGAGCCCGGCCCGGCCCCTCCCGCTCGGGGCCCCGCCGGTCCAGGCGCCGGGCGGGGGCAGGGACGATCAACTTGGGGCGCGGCGCAGCCCCGCTCTCGGGAGAGCACCGAATCGGAGCTCCGCGGCCGCGGCTAGACCGCAGGAGCCGAGCGCGGCGAGGGCAGGTGGCGAGCGGCGCCCGCGCTGCAGCCCGGGCCTCGGCGAGAGCGCGAATATTTTTCAAACGATTCAAACTTTCGTCCTTTCCCCGCTTCCTGTGGTCGGTCTTGACTGGAACTGCTCTCCCGATTCCCGCGGGGCGCCCGGTGCGATTCCTCTCCGGGCTCCTCCGGGCTCAGCTAACTTCTCCCCTCGGCCGAGTCCAGCCCACGCTGCTCGCCCGCTCCGGAGGGCCCGGGCCCGGGCTCCTTCGCCCCTGGGAGGGCGCCCAGCCCGGCCCCCTTGGGTCGGGTCCTCGAGCCCCCAGCACCCGCCGCAGGACTGGAAGCCGCAGATTAACCGGTACGGAGCCTGGCCTCCCGGCCCCCGTCTCGGAGGGGCGTCCCCCGGGCGCAGAAACGACAAGTTTATTAGTCGTCGTTGGCCTGTTGGATCGAAGAACCGCCGCCGAAGAAGGTCCCCGGCGCTCCGTACCCCGAGAGGAGAGCCCTGGGGACCCGGGGAGACTCGGCGGCCGGGCTCCTCGGGCCGGGGCGCTGGCGGCTGCGCGGGGCGTGCGGAGGCACCCGTGGCCGGGCCCGCGCCCCCTGCGTCCTCACCGGGGCCGCGGCTCTGCCGGAGGAGCCATCCGCGCCGCTGCCGCCGCTGCCGCCGCCGCCTCCTCAGTCTCCGGGTCTCCGTCGCCGCTCCGAGAAGGGGGAGACGCAGGGGGCATCGCGGGGCCCCGGCGGATGCGCCCCCCCGCCGCCTCTCGGGCTGCGCGCCTCGCGGGGATGAAGCACCGGCCGTGAAGATGGAGGTGACCTGCCTGCTACTTCTGGCGCTGATCCCCGTGCACTGCCGAGGACAGGGCGTCTACGGTAAGAGCCCGCGCCCGCGGCACGCGCGTTAGCACCCGCGGAAACTTTGCAAGAGGCGCAAAGCGCGCGTTGCGGGGTTTGGTGGGGACCCCGGCGGCTCGCACTCTGGAGGGGATGCCCGGGTCCCCGCCCTTTCCCAGGCGCGAGAAGAGCGAACGAGCTGCTTCGGAGCACAGAGGCGGGTCGTGGGGTCTGGCGTGAAGCTGGTGATGCCGGGGGGAGGCACCCACTTTCTCACACCCTGTCAGAGGCGGGAGTGACTCCGAACCCCGGAGAGCACCCAGTCGGCTGGCGCCGGAGACTCCGACAGACCTCGGGCCGGGGCTGGGGCAGCGACTTGCACCGAAGCCTGGTTTACCCCGGCTCGGCCTGGGGAGCGGAAGCCGAGCGATGTGTGACCCGGAGTTGCGCGTGGTTTGCGCGAGAGCTGGCAGCCGGCACCGCCACGGAGCCGCGGGCTCGCCTTCCGCGATCTCACAGAGGCTTCGCTTCTTCTTTAGTCGCTTCTTGGCAACCCGAGCGGTTGCCACATCCCCCGGATCCGGAGCCTAAAGCCCCGGCATCCCTTTTCGGACCTCTCTGGAGCCAGTTCTCCCTGCCTCCGGTTCCCAGCTACAAAACCCCAGCCCCACCTTCCGTTCCCTGTGCGCGCGCACACATACACACACACACACACACACACACACACACACACACACACACACGGGCACCGTCCCCCCAAAACGCAGACCAGGCACACACCCACCCGCTACGCCTCCAAACGCTGCCTCCTGCCCGGCAGCTTTGCTCCCGCGTCCCCACGCCTCGCTCTTGGGCGCTAAGGGGACTCCAGTCACCCCTTATCCCGTCTTTTCCGTGGGTTTTCCCCGGGAAAGGTCCCCAGAACAGGCATCACCGCTCTCAGGGACCCTCCCTCTGACTTCTAGCAGCCCGGAATGCCCCGACCCCGCCGCACAAAAAGTCAGTCTCTGGGCCCAGCGGCCCCTACTTCGCTTTCTGCGGACTGCAGGGCAGTCTGTGCAGGCCACTTTTTGATGAAGTGAGCAGGAGTGGGAGGATTCTCTCTCTTTCTGAGGTTGAGGGCGTAGTTCCTGCCTTTAAGATGGGGGGTGGGGCGGGGGTGGGAGAGTTTGACCTGTTCTATTGGTGGGGGTCGGATGCTTTGTCCCTCCCCAAACATTTTTGGCTACCAGCCTCAGGTGCAGATGCTAAATGCCTCCTTCTGGGGGTGCCTCACAAGAGGGAGGGGTCCCCTGAGGGGTTTCTGGGAGGTGACTTGCTAGCTGGCTTGGGTTTAATTCCCTGGGGAGGCTGGCCCAGGCATCTGGCCAAACTCTGCTTCTTAATTAGTTTGTGTGTCTCTTACTGCCTGGCCCTTTAGATATAGGCCAGAAAAGGAAAGACGAGGAAGAATGAGAGGCTGGGTTATGGGGAGGAGGCAACTGAGGGGGTCCCAGAGGCCTCAGCCCCGCAGGGGTTGTGTGTGTGTGTGTGGGGGGGTGTCTTCCTTCCTCTTTCTCCCCAAGGTTTCCCTTCAGCCTCCCTGTTCCTTAGGAGGAAGCCTAAAGAGGGACATCGGTGAGGTCTCCCCCTGTTTTTCACCACACCCAGGAGGTCTGTAGAGTGACTGAGAGCCCTCCTGTTGGCTGCTGTCCCCCACTCTCCTCCCTCTGAGTGCCCTTGGGCAGACCTGGCATGCCCATCTCCCGGCCATGGCCATCCCCTTTCTCCATTCCCTCCACCTCCTCCAGCCTCCTCCAGGGCTGCATGGGGCACATCTTGAGGAACCCCCAGCAATGAGGGCGGGAGTGGGTGACAGGTGCAGTGGTCTCTGCAGACCCTGATTTCAGAGTGCTTTGGGGCCAGGGTTGAGTCATTGGCTCACCTGCCCCCTTTCTGGGTGTTTTCTCCCCTCCCTGAGTCCAAGCTCTCTCACTCAGAGTGAGGTAAGTGGGTTGTGTGCATGGGGGCCAACCCCTGACTCTTGGATGACATTCTTTCCACGTGCCCTTTGAGAATGTGGCTCCAGGGAAAGACTGGGGCCTCGGGGCAATTGCTGGGTGGGAAGTCTTTATGGCGGTGGATGGAGAGAAAGGAAGATCTAGTGTGAGGGGGAGGATAGCAGGAGGCTACTTGAGTTCCTTGTGAAGCTTTGGCCAGATATAGCCAGAGAGAACCATCGTAGGGCTGGGGCTGGGTAAGGAGTAGTATGGAGAGCTGGTTTTCTGCTCCCTCCCCCACTTTCCCTCTATTCACAAAGCAGATGAAGCAACTTGAGAAAGAGTGGAGTGCAGGTGAGAAATGGTCAGGCGTGTCCATCCCTGTGTGCCAGCACCCAGCATGGTGCCTGGCACACAGCAGGAGCTCAGCAAATATTTGTTGCAAGAATGAAGGGCCATGGTTTGGGGGGAGTTGGAAGAAATGCTTATTGAAATTCTTTCTTTCCCAGGTGTCTCCCTAAGATGGTTTGCACAAGGCAGTTGGGCATTCTTTGAGGGTCTCTGCTTAGGGCGAGTCACAGTCTTAGGCTGGTGGCTATAGGCTGGTGGCTATAGATAGGGGGGAACTCAGGATGCAGAAGAGAGAGGAGGCTGGAAGTCCAGTGCTGCCCTGGCAGCGCGGAGGGAGGCAGTTTTTACTCAAGACACACAAAAAACAAGTGTGCCCTGGGGAGGGAACCACCAGCCCCTTCCCCTCTGCTCCCAGGCCTGTGTGGCTGAGGGAGGAGCAGATTAGCAAACATGGAAGCTGAATTGGAAAGAGGGAGGAAGACTGGGATGTGGAGGGCAAACCCCGCCATAATCTGGCCTGAGCTGGGAGTCTCTGCTGAGGCTGGTAGGAGGCAGGGGCCTGGAGACCTATGTCTGCTTCCCTCTGAGGTTCCTTTTGCCGGACCCAAGCTGCGCTGCTGCAGTGGGACCGGGGAAGCGCTCTCAACTGGCCAGGTGGCTTCGCTCTTCTTTGGGGCACAGATGCTATAGCAGCTGAGTACTAGACCAGATGGTCCATTTGGAGCTGGTTCCCTCTTTCCTCCCAGCCTCCCAATCTCCTGGCCCCGTTTGTTGTGCTCCAGGGTGGATCCTGTAAGCTTCTTTCCCACAGGCCAGGGGTGGTGGGCTGCCCCAGAGGCCTAGTTCTAGGCAGAGGGAGTAGCCAAGGGATGGAGGAGTATCCTTCATGAGGATACACCCGCCCTGGCTCATCTCCGCCCATAGCTGCCGGACTTCCAGCGAGAGGCGGGTTGAAGGGATTCCTCTCCCTTAGAAAAACACAACAAACCTCGGGATTATTTAATATGCAGGAGTGGGAATTGACATTATCCTTAAGACAGGTTGTTTGCAACTTACTGGTGGAAGTCAAAATATTTCACCAAAGGTGTCATCAGAAACTACTATCCTATGCTAATTTTTGTGGGAACATGAAGACAGATGTTGAATAATTTGACAAGAGCAACATAGCTTACAGAATTATCACCAAGTCAGGTTTTTTTCCCCTCCTCTGAGGGTGCGGAGAAGGAATTTCAGGAAGTGTGCCTCCCAGCGCCGCCTTCTGGGTGTTGATCTAGGTGTGGGCACTCGGGATTTTTCACTAGTTTCCACCCCAGGCCCAGAAACTGCCTGTCCGGATCGGACGCTCCCCCGGGAGAAGGCGTCGCATTGGAAAACTCTGGGGGTCAGGGCTGACAGAAAGCTGAGGGCTTTGCAAATGTCCTCAAGAAGGTCCAGGCCTCTGTCCTCCCTTCCTTCTCAGTTATAGCAACTGCAGGAGGGAGAGGGCCTTGCGTCTCCAAATCCAGGCGCTTTTGTTTGCTTTGCCAGCACTGTCTGTACCCCCCATTGAGGTTGGCCCCTGAGCCTGCTTGAGGACTCCCCCGTTCTGGAGTCAGACCCAAGAGCTCCCCCACGCCCCCACTCTTAGGTTCAAGATCTGCATGATGCCTCATTTTACGAATCTGTGCTTCCTGGCTGGTGGGGGCTCCGGAGGTGGTGGGGTTGGTTAGAGAGGATTATATTAGCCAGGAAAGCACCCTTGAGGGGGCGGCTGCAGACATACCAAGGGCCTATTTGTAATTGGCCGAGCTTGGCTGTGAGCTGCTGGGGCCGGGTGGCAAAGCCTCATTTAAAGCCTGGTATTAGCTCTGCTTTGCTGGAACATGGAGGGACGGGCGGGGGGCTCCACAGGGAGAATGGAGGGAGCTAATCACAGCAGCCAAGGCCGGCAAATGAATGATGCAGGAAATCAATACCTGGGTGTGGGAGTGGAAATCCGGGCAATGGTAGCAGCCGTGGCTTCTCTGGCTGCCCAGGAGGCAGAGGCGGGCCTGGGAGGAACGAGACAGAGGCAGGAGTGTGGTGCACCCTCCTCTCCACTTCACATCCTCCCCGTACTGCCCCCAGTTCTGCCTTCCTCAGCCCTTCCCACTCCAGCCTTGCATCTCCTTGTGGCGGGGCTCAGGGAACCTAACCCACCAGCAAAGACAGGGGACCTGGAGATGGGATCTTGGGCCTCAGTCCTGGAAGAGACATGCCCCACCCCTACCTTGCCTCTGGACACAGTCTGACTAGGCCCCAGGTGCAGGGGTGTGTACCTGAGGACCCTGCCCTGTGCACCTGGCACTGCCACTCCAGATATGACCAGCAGGGGGCGGGCTTGGCCGCCACATTGCATATTGCTTTTCCTAGACTCTCTTGGCCTCAAGACTCCACAGGGATGAGACTTACTCTAATTCCTTAGCCTGGGGCCCAAGGGGACTCCCTAGGCCTTCTGTAGCTCCATGCCTCCCTCCAGCTCTCATGTTTCCCTTCCCAGTGTCCCAGGGCATTTACCTGTGGCCAAAGCCACACTTCCTATCCCCTAGGCCAGAGGAGAGCCCTATTGGGGGAGGCTCAGCTCGTGGGTTCCTGTCCAGGTGGGGCTGTGTGCAGAGCAGGGGCTCCTGCCCTGGCAGTGCTGCCTCTTTGTGAACCTGGTGTGTGGCCCCTCTCCTGCATCTTCCCCGC